CCGATGTTGTGCCAGCTGGAATGTGAATGGTACGCTTCTGCGAAGGCGCCGCTGCCTCAAACTGCAGTGACCAACAGTTTGCGCTGTTGAAGGTGACACGGAATCATATTTTGGCGAACAGAACCCCACTTTTGCTGGCTTGTCCATGAGACAGTTGGCCTGACGAGGTGGGACTCGGCTATTCAGCCTCAAACGAGACGCCGATGGACAGACGGTTGAAGTGTATGTGTGGGCTAAGTCGAGTAGCATGGTTGATGTGGACTGGATGTACCCACACGGAGGGTCGTTGAGCATTCGACAGGCGGTCGAGCTTGAGACCCTTTATAGCCCATCGCAAAGGGAGCGCCGATCCATGGCAACTCAACTAGTCCGTCGTGAGCTGGGCTGTGTGTTAGTGGATTCACAGTCCTCTGAAGATGTGGCTTAGCAACGAGGTCCATCTGCAGGCTTCAACAGAGTCATTGCTTACAAAATCCCCTCCGACAGGCCTGAAACCGTTTCGCTGAACCCTCAAGTTGGTTCAGCTTGAAAGACCAAAGACTCGATCAGTGACTACCCTTTTGCCGCATCTACACTTGCAACCACAATCCAACATTCTTAAATTGCACCATTATTCAAACCTGACTCAGCCCATGTTGGTTGAGGTGGCAAAATGAGAAATGCTCGAAGGTACCGCAAAGAGATGAGCACAAGGCCTCGCAATGCCGTTGCGTGCGACTCAGTCTGGCAGCACCCATTTTCCGCAAAGGTCTGAACCCGGTTCTAAAAATTAAGAGAAAAAAATATATATTGATAGACAAAGTGTGTGTCTATGTGTGTGTGTGTGTGTGAGAGAGAGAGAGATAGAGTGGTAAAGTGGCAATATCCTCACTTGACCATATATACACATACACACACACACACACGCATGAAAACACATCCACAAGTACCAACGGGTAAAATTGGTTGTTCAGGGACGGGCCAGGTCTCGTCAAAGTGACATGTTGTCGTGACAATTTCGATGACAATTTTGCGAAGAAAAGTTGCGTTTTGAGGAATCTCATGTTTCATAATTGTTGAGCTTACTTCCATTTCGAGTTTGAAGTTTGGTGAAGAGATTCGAAGATCGGTTCCACCAGAAGACGACGGCGGATTTATCTTGACCAGCTGTCAATTGGCTTCACTGGAAGATTGATGCTGACTCATTTTCCGAGGCAATCTCCTTCGATTCCGGTGACATTTATTTGTCACTTAAACCAACGAGTTTGCTTGCCTCAGTTGTGAATAGGTTTTGGGATTGTCGGTACTTCTGAATGGGAAAGCCAATCAAATTGTGTGCCCTAAGCTTATTGCATTTTTTATTCCTTATTTACAATGCGTCGTTGGAGAGACTTTCATTTTGTATGTTAATGTATGAAGAAGAGATTGGAAGGCTAATCTCATCCAAAGAATACTTCTGCTTTTCGTTGTACCGCAGCCGTTTAGCTTTAATACGACGTTCAGGTACAACGCGAATAAGCCGCCGTCTTCTGGTGAGATCGAACTTCGAATCTCTGCTTCATGCACTTTTCTACGAAATGAAAGTCTCTCCAACGATGCTATCTCAAGAGACTCATCGAAGCCCAATATTTTTTCATATCTACAATATATCGCCGGCAAGAGCTACTCACTTTGAATATAAGTAGTGTGGTGAAGTGTAATTTCGAGAGGCTTGAGTATCTGCACATACACACATGCACAGATGCAGGCCAAAAAGAGTGCTTATTTGAGTAGAGTGGATAAAACGAGATGCTACGAGAGAATGGTGTTACAAAAAAAGACCACAATAGCCTTGAGTCGTTGGCATTTTTGCATACTTGCGAGTAGTATAGGCGGGTTGGGCACAGAGTAAGGCATAAAATAAATCCCGAGGTGGAGGCGATGGGCTTTTAAAGGAGAACTTTGAGCGGAATCAAACGACTTGGTGAAACCGAGCAGATGTTGCTTTGCGAAAAGTTGAACCAGCAGAAGAGGAGATGTGCAAGCACAGCAAACCGATTCTACCGCTTCTGCACTCGACGAACACTTTCGTTGTGGAACACTTGAAAGGACCATTGGACGCGGGACTTGCACAGTCTCCTGCATGTTTTGCCTTGCGTCTTTCGTGCATGCGGCAAGAGAAAGTGTCGTTTGGAAGTCGGCGTCAAGAGCCGTTGGATGACGCCGAATTGAGGTAGAAAGCGTGCGTGTCGACGAGTCTGTCTGATCTCCGACAAACAAGAGCTATTTTAATCCCATTTTTTTAGCGTTTTTAAGGAAACTACTCACAATCTGATGAGTTGGTCGTCAGTGTTCATTGCATTTCACGCGTGGCTGGCTGGAGAGGAGATGCGTGTCGGGCTCGTCCGTACTGGCTGACAATTATAACCGATTGTAAAGAGTGGTCTGAAATCAACAGGCACAGCGACTGGTTGTGCAGAAGAATGTGGATAAATCCGAAAAAGAAATAATGACCATAGCAACTACGACATTGCAGGATGAGTAGGAGGAGAAGAAGCTGGTGGAATTGGAAGCGGAAGAAGAAGAAGAGGAGGAGAAGAAAGAGAAGCTGAAAATTGTATGCTGTACATTTCCGAGTGGCTTTTCGGTAGACACATTTGCCATTTCTTTCGCTTAGCGTGACCTTTTTAGACTAAGTTCCAACATTTTCTGTTCATGACGCTACGGCCCTTCTTGTTGCAGTCTTCAACGATGCGTCTGAATTCGGCTTTGGGATGAGTTGACGCCGATTTTTCGGGTCCGGCTTCTTGTTACTGTCGAACATTTAACACTCTTGCACACCTTCTATTCACTTCACACCATTTCGCCTCAACACACTCAAGTTTCAGGCCGACCTCAATTCTATTTTGCGATGGCTAACTTAACAAGATTCCTTCTTGCTCAACACTGCTTTGCTCAAGATGACGATTTCACTCTCGCTCTCTTTCTCTCTCTGTCTCTGTCTCTCTCGCCCTGCTCAAATAGCCAGTGCCTGTAGGTGTGCTGTCCAATTGTTCATCGGTCCCTTTTGCCCAGTCGGTGTCACATGCACGCGCATGTGAACCCGCCTTGCGCCGCTTTCCGTCCGCAGCGTCGACTGCCAAGCAGAACTGGGTGGCCAGTTTGCTTTTTCGCCAGCTCAGTCAAGCGAGACTCGAGGCGCGGGGGGTCTCGAGCCTCGGGGACAGGAGCTATCGACGGGTCATCTGCGCGTGGGTCGAGGCGCAGACTCGAGCTCAGACCGATCACGAGCGCAGCTTCGGCCAGACCCTCTTCACAGTGCTGACACTCGCAGAAGCCGGCAAGAAGGCACATGCGCACAGACGGAAAGACAGAAGGATAGACGAATAATCTGACAGACGGATAGATGGACGCAAGTAAAGACAGACGGTTGGACAAACGGACAGAGGGATAGAGGAGTAGAT